GAGAGTGTTTTGAATTGGGTTCATATATGGCAGAACTCCACAGACTGTATGAATTGTAATGGGGGCAAATAAAAGGTCAGATTTTATTTTTGTGTTCTTAAAGAACAAAGCTCTGACATGGTCAAGATTAAGTGCTTAAACATTGGAGAGGAAAAAATATGATATCAAATGGCTAAATACAGTAATTCCTGGGATCATCCATTGCAAAGAAAATATATTTTCACAGAGGCAGTTAGTTCCTAGCCCAGTGACCTGACACAGTGGCCGGTCTGCAGGTGTGTTAGACTTTCAACATTCGGAGAGACTTTCTCCTTTGTCTTTTCCTTTATTTTGCTTCCTTTCTACTTGGTGTTTCTGGAGATCAAAGAGAACAGAAAGTTGAGAATCTTTTTGTCCAATTCATTCTTCACACACTGAATTTCTGTTGGGTTTTTGCTGAGGGGTGAGGTGTGTTTTGTCCAGTCAATTGACTTTTCCGTGGTTTTTATTCCTGTGTTCCAAGTTCCATGCAAAAATATGTAATTCATAATTTGTTTTCATTTTCAGTATTTCATTGAAATACCATTGGTTTTTTAATGAGAACGGCATAGGTTCTTTACCACCCTCTTGCTCAAACTGTACCTTGTGCTAAAAAGCACTCCCAGAAGCTGGTACCTCAAAGGTGATGCCCAGGAGAAGGCATTCTTATTTTGCACATCACTTAATGTGTCAGTTTTTAAATCTGACTTTTAGAAGTCGTGGAAGTATACTTAAAGGATCAAATAATTAAAACTAAAAGGTTTGTGGATTATAGCTGTCTATACAATGACTTATTTTGTTGTTGCTGTTGTTGTTGTTGTTATTAATATTTATTAGGATACTTGTGGGACAAGAGGCTACAGGGACTTTTCCTGCCTTCTTCTGGGGATTCGATGAAGGTCTTGAATTATGATTGAGAAGTTTTGGGTTCAAAGAAAGAATGTTTTGCCAGATCCCTCTTCCCTTCATTTTTAAATATGTGTATTTCAAGGGAAATTTGATTCATGTGTTTCTGATTCATTTACACTTAAATCCTCAAAATGTTATTTGGTAAGAGCTATTTGATGTCCAGGAAGCTTTCTGTCGCTGTTTTAAAAGTCCTCTTAAGTCTGTTTCTTAAAACAGGAAGTTGCATTTTGCCAAGTACAAATAAACACAAACATTAAGAAGGCTGAAGCGCATTTTCTAACTCTGAACTCCAGGTTTCAAGTACATTCTTAATGTATCAAAATACATCCTCTCATCTCTGCAAAAGTTTGATTGGGAAAAACAATAGTAATAAAAGTGTACAAAGGTACTCACAAGCATTATTAATCTGAAAGATATTTTTCTAGTTGTAAAAATAATAAGATTTAGAGCAAGTATTCTTGAAACCATCATATGCAGGTGAATTGTAAACAGGAATATTTGTTTGCATGTTGACTCTACACAACATGTCTGAATAAGTTTTCTTAAGTTTGTTTTTCTCTCATTTTTTAAAAACCTTTGAGTCGTACTCATTTTAGGAAATATGAAGCACATTTTGTCAAGCAGAAGGGCCCACAGAGAATCTGTAGGAGTTTCATGTCTCTACTAACGTTATGTACCACTTTGATTTAAAAATACAATCGACACTTTGTTTGGAATTGGAAAAATGCAGAAAATTACCTCTGGTTCAAACTAAGACGTCTCTTAATTATTTCTCTGTTTTCTCACCTAGATCCCCCTGGCCCTGGAATTCCCTTCTGGCTGGTTCACTTGTGCTTAGAGATAAAAGAACTAAAAATAATCATGAGCAGTGTTTGGGACAATTCTCTCAGTATTCCGCATCTTCAAGCCCACTTCAGCACTTCTGTATGCCATAATAATCAAGTAGTGCCTGGGATGCCAGGTGTTATATAAAAGAAACCACTTGATTTAGATTTTATTAATGAAATGATACGTTTAGGTAAATGATCCCATCAATAACACTAGAGGAAATTGTGGATCACCCGAAGCTAGGCTTATTCATCCTACTAAGAAGGGAAAGCAGCAACTTAACCAAAACTCTAGGATGGCCAACAGGGAGATTTAGTGCAGCAAATGTGCAGAGCTTGGGACTGAAGTTACTTACAGGGTTGCTTTAGGACAGAAGTTAACAAGTGAGGTTTAGTGAGATGGTGGTAGAAGTTCCTAACTAGGCACGTTGCAGGATTATCTTTAGAATATGAATCTGCAAAGAGTTCATGTTAAATCAACTTTTGCTTTTCTCTTGGAACATAGGACCTGAAACTACTAGTGAGGTTAGAACAGTGATTTTTAGTTTGTGTTACCTGTTCTGGTCTGATAGAATTTACCTTGTTTTGTGATTAACAATATAGTTTTGTAGGAAGTACAATTTGGATTTCTCACACATATATACACCTTGCATACATTCATTTATTAATTTTTTAAAATTAATCTATATCCCATCACTTAAGAAGCTAATTTGCACTATGCGTGGTAGCACACAATTGCAATCACACTTTTTCCAGCAATATTTAAAATTCACTTGGGGTGGGTACTCATGGAATCTTTTCCATTCCATACTAGACTGTATCCCTAAGGACAGTTGATGGCCTCTGGGGCAGGGAGAGTCAGTTTTCTTTAAGGGTGTGGCTCATGGTATGCGGGCCATGTGCCAGGGGATAACCCCACACCCAGAAATATATGAACAATACAAATTAAAATCATGGGTTATTAAATAAGATAAAAAGATCACAAATTTGGGGGGTAGGGAGACAGGGTGGGAAGAGTTAAGGGGAGGAATTAGGATGACTAGGATCAAACTACGGTTCATGAAATTCTCTAAAAATTAGTAAAAATGTAAAAATATAAAAGTGAAAAATTCCTTGGCCTTGTTAGGTACCTATACATCTATGCTGTAATTGTCCCTTCTTTTACCACTGTTTTATTAAAAATAAACAAATATTATATTAACAATGTCTTTAAGATTTTATATTGTTTGAGCCATTTCGTATTTGTCCTAGTTAATTATTTGTATCCTACCTTGCGTAGTAAGAATTTGTGTTTCTTCAAATACCAGAGCCTGCATGCTGCTCAATAAGATCAAAGTAATAGAAGAGTCAGGAAATTCCATTTCATGAAGTAAAGGCCAATGCTGTTTTCTAAATGTTTATATGAATGTAATGAGATTTTCATGGGGAAAAAACAATATAAAAGAACTCTCAAATTGATGGTATAGTGAGGGTAACTGCTAATGACCAAATACAAATCATTTAAGACAAAAGATTAGAACTGAAGCCTCGACAGTGCTGGATAGTCTCAAAACTTTATAGGAAACCTCGTTCTGATGATAGCAAATAAAATTTTTCTGTCTATGCTGGTTAGATTTTATTGTCAACTTAATACGACATAGAGTCACCTGGGAAGAGGGAATCTCAACTGAGTAATTTCTTAGGTTGGTCTGTAGACATGTCTGTGAGAAATTATCTTGATTGATGGTTGAAGTGGGAGGGCCCAGCCCACTGTAGGCAACACCATCCCTAGGCAGGTGGGTCTGGGCTGTACAAGAACGCAGCTGAGCACAAGCCTTAGGCAGTGTTCCTCCGTGTTTCTGTTTGAGTTTCTGCTTGAGTCATGCCGTCTTCCTTTAATGATGGACTGTGACCTGGAAGTGTAAACCAAATAAAGTCTTTCCTCCCTCAATCTGCTTTTGGCCAAGTGTTTTATCTCAGCAACAGAAGAGCAAGCTAGGGCAGTGTCACAAAGCCTGCTGAAGGGATAAGTACTATTTGACCTTTGAGGCTTACTTTTACTTGTTATCTCTGAGCTTTATCATCCATTAGCTATAACCATTATCAGCCATGGTTTTACATTTTAAATTTCCCCTTATGAAACAGACATTTAAAGGATTTTATTTTCCACTGGTCTCTGTCAATATCATTTAAAATTTAAATTGATAGAATTTCCTAATTCCCTGGTTGTTTATTGTCAATGGTTTCACTAAATCGTTTTAGTAATCACTACTGGATATCTTGCATCAGTCAGTGGCTGGCATTGGCTCATGAGCTTCTCACACAGTATTGTGAGCTGAGTGGGATTACTGCTTCTGTACTAAGACAGGAAGATATAGGAAGACCCAGATATAGGGAGACCTGCTGCATCACTGCCACGCAGCTGAGGGGGAAGCCCATGACGGCTCCTCTCTGCTTCGCTGCCTGAGTCCAAAGCAATTCACATATAAAAGATGATCTCTTTTATTTCTCCTCATGAATTTTAGGTGCTATAAAGTCTAAGTTTCATAAAACAAATCACAAATGACCTCACAAAATTTTTAATGGAATTATAACTTTTTGCTACTATTAAAAGAGAATTGTAATAGCTCTAGGTAGAGATGATGGTTCACACCCATAATCTCAGTATCAGGAAGCAGAGACAGAAGGATCACAAGTTCCTGATCAGATCAGCTTGGGCTCCAAAGTGAAAGCAACACCAACCTCCCCGAAAAGAGGGTCTAGGGATGTAGCTCGGTGATAGAACTCTTGCCTCTTGCTTGGGATGCATGAAGCCTTGACTCCAGCTACAAAAACAAAACAAACAACAACAAAAAACCTGACATATCTCTTGTCAGGACTGAAAGGGGCAAAAAAACACTTTAAATTAATCCCAGATTAGAAGGAAATTGAAAAATCACAGTGTTGAAGAGGCCAGCGGACATCTTTCAGAAAAAAATTTAAAGATGGCTACTTTCTACTCATGTCAATCTAAAAATTTATTTCAGGCCAGTTACTTTCTCATTTGACACCAATCAATAAATCTATCAAAGTCATTTATTTCTCAGAGCTTGGCTTTAGGGGCCTAGATAATCATATACCTTCTTAAAAGATATTGTAAGGGCCATCTGCAGTGATGAGGAGTTTGGTTTTGTTTTCTATGACCTTCACAGACTACATAGCTGTTCCAGTTTTCTATTCAGGGCTGCCCTCGTAACGTGTGCTTGTCTGTTCTCCCCACTTCTCCAGGACTGCCCACCAGAAGCAGGTGATTTCCGAGCTCAGCAGTGTTCTGCTCATAATGACGTCAAGCACCACGGCCAGTTTTATGAATGGCTTCCTGTGTCTAACGACCCTGACAACCCATGCTCTCTCAAGTGCCAAGCCAAAGGAACCAGCTTGGTTGTTGAACTAGCACCTAAAGTCTTAGATGGTACGCGCTGCTATACAGAATCTTTGGACATGTGCATCAGTGGATTATGCCAAGTAAGTGCTGAATTCCTTCCCTTTAACTTATCTGGAGGGGTTAGTGCCGTGGTGTACATAATTTTTGCAGAATCTCACTATTGGAATCACTCAGTTACCTTTCCTAGAATTTATAAATAGTAACATATTTAAAGATTGAGGTTTCATTTCAGTTTGAGGTTTAATCTCAGTGACTAGTGCCAGGGTTGTGTTCTGTATAAGGAAATGTGGACTGGAGATGTTATTTTTTCTTTCCTTGAGTGTCACTTGAATACAAAAGAATAAAAATATTGAGGTTGACGCAAATGTCCTTTAAATAGTCTGCTCTGTAAGACATAAAAGGACACAGTCCATACAGCATACAGAGAATCTGCTTGTTCTATAATGTGAGCTGGTCATCACTATTCACAAAGTGGGCCTTAGGTGAAGACCACAAGTTCATGACAAGTGTGCTGACACGTTATTACTTTTACTTTTACTTGCTTTTTTTTTACATTTTACTATATTTTTACTATTTTTTACTATTTTATTTTACTTACTATCACTTTACTTGAAGTAAACATTGATGAATTGATAGCAGAAATCAAATGTCTGTGATATTCTTGGTTTGAACAAGTTACTTGTCTTCAACCCAGCCTAGCTGATATGGCCACGCCTTTCCCTACATTTGTGTAAATTTTCAATACAGTTGGGACAGTAAGGAAGCAGCAAGTTCTCCTACATTTTATCTCGGGATTTTATAATTCCTGTCACCTAAATCACTTTGAAATTCTAACTGATTGAGTGACAATGATTGAGTCAGAATTTGTAACAACTCACAATATGAGAAAAGTATAAAATATGTCTCAGTGATTTGTTTTAAATTCATGCTTATTTAAAACTTAAATCAATATCTTGATATAAAAAGAAAAAAATTCTGTACAAATGTTATAAAAGATGTGAGATGTCAGGTTTTATGTGACAGAGAAGTAAAGAGATACAATAAAACTGTATAAGGGTTAGAGTAATGATTCAGGAACAGGCATGTTCAAGACTTTTCATGGAGATGAGGTACACATATATGTTTTCTTTATGTATAAGATATATGAATTTCAAATGTTAATCTGAATGTGAGCTTTTATTGTTTTAAAGCTTGCAAGGGTCTTAGAGATTATCTGTACACCTTTAAAAACAATATGTGAACAAGCTTATTAGTAACATTTTACAAGTATTTGAAAAATTATTTGAGATTACTTATAAATAGCCAAGTAGGACTCTTGGTTTTATTGAAATGGAATTATGGAATCTGTAAAATTTTTAGAAATAGTAAAGAATCATAAAACAAATAACTACAGGAAAGTGGCCGCACTATGAGGCTAAGCAAGCACCCATCCCTTGTCTGTGTGTGCAGCTGTGTAAAGCAAATGAGATCCACAGATTATAAATAAAAATTCAAGGACTAGAAAATATGCATGATCTTGTGAGAGTTACATGGTTCATTACGGCAGAAATGGGTCTGAATTCAAGGTCTTCCAAGTAGTGATATTGAAGGTGTGTGCCACCATCCCCCTCCTATCCCCCTCTAAGAGCTACTTTATCAAAACTATTCAGTCCTTCATCTGTACAATCAAATTATGGGGTGCCTGGCTTTTATAAACAAGAAGATAGTCTTAGCAGAGGAGGAAAATGAGACTTAGATACTGTCATGAATAAATGGATTGCCTGTATTTGCTCTAAATTACATTAGGAAAATTTTAGAAGCATTGCTATTTATCTATACACCTAATCCTTCCTTGATAAGAACAGAGCAGCACACCAGCGGCATGTTTCCTATTCTGACTATAGCGGCAATAGTCATGATAGCTGCAGTTTCTGAGTGACTAATGCACCATCTACTCTTTGGGTTGGACAAGCATTTTTTACAAATATGTACGGTCTTCATGTTTGACAGCATTACCCTCATTTCATGGCTGCAGAACAGAGGCTGACACAATTACATGCCTTGCCCAGGTATATCTAGTTCTGTCTAGCTCCCAAGCACCTGCTCCTTCTGCCATGCACAGAGGCAAGTATGATTTGGTAGTGGTTCCCAAATTGAATATGTACCAGAATCACCTAGAAAGCTCTTACAAAGAAAATCTTAAGCCCATCCATCAGAAATATAGATTGATTACTCCTAGGCCTTTAAAGCTGTGGCTCTGTGGTGAGGCAAGATTAATGAACCACATATAGATTGGAAAGCAGGTAGGATTTAAAGACAAATGACATGAGGTAGAATTTGGCTCATCATTAAGTATATGATATTGGTCAAAGTAGGTAGCCTCCTTAAACTGTTTGACTCTGTATAAAATGAGATTCTCTCACCAATCACAGAGTACCAAGTAAGAAAATTTACAGCTGTGAAACTGCAAATAGTGGAAATCTGGAAGACCCTGAACGTTTTGAGTCAGACAACATATTAGAGTGTTGGTTTCCTGGAGGTAGGGAAAGAAGGAAGAAAGAGGAAGGGAGAAGGTGGGGGGGGAGATTAACTCAGCATTGGGGGGCTCTACGTAGCATTCTCAAGGCCCTAGGTTCTATCCCTGGAACCACATACCTGTAAGAAAAGTTCTCCCATTTACTTTCAGTGCTATCATTTTCCAATTGAAATGTTAATAACCGGAAAGCAGTAAGAACCTGACTTCACACTAATTTAGTTTGCCTTTTGAGAAAGTCACTACCCTGTGCTTTCCCTTTTTCTCTGGCACACAGAAATTAGAGGTCCTCACAGAGTATCTTTAGAAAACTCTGCCTTTGAAATGATCTAGCCCAGCCTCAAGACACAGGGCTGAACCGAGTAGTGTGATTTTTCCAGGAATTCACAGCTAGTTAACAACAGACTGAAGGTCAGGGAGTGGCAGTGTTCATCAACTTTCTGAAAATATGTTCTCCAAGTTATTTTTCAGCATATCCCATTGGCTATGTTTTTTTTTCTAGTTTAAATGCTATCACTAATATTAGGAACGCAATGGGGGGGGGCTAAACCTTTCCAAACCACTGTCCTTTTCCCTCTGACTCTCCTACAATCAGAATCATCCGCTGGAGATCACTGTGCTGATGTGTAGTCTCAGCTTCTTTCTTAAGTTGAGAAACTTGAAGATCCTTATTGACTCATTATTCTAAGTACATGAAGTTGGAGATAGAGCAAAATAGGGAAGCAAGTTTGACATAGTATGAAAAATTAAGGACAGACACCCTGGAATCAGCACTGCATGATCAGGAATCTACGCTCCATCACTTATTGATATATCACTGGGAGCAAAATCATAAGCCTCAGCTTCCTCGGTTGCAATATGAGGATACCTGTCAGTGACTGATAAAGAGGCTGTGAAAATTAAGCAACCAAATGTGTGCAAGGTGCTCATGGTGAGCTCAGGAGACCCCAGCTAGTAGTGTTAATAATGCCCCCAGTTTTTCCTGTCTCTGTCTTTTTCGTCTGTGGTTTTGCTTAGTAGATGATTTAGTAAGTTTTGCATCTCACAAGAGCCACTGACTCCCAGTGAATGGACAGACCTGCTGATTTCCTGCTGGAGCCATTTTTAGAACAGTTCCAAGGTATCCCATTATCAGTTCCTGCTCCAGAGTGGTGAATTGGGTCCTGTGTAAAGCTAATGAGCCGTCACAAATAGGATCAGCTCTAATAGTACTGCTGTTACTCATTGACTTCCATTATCCAAATTACTCCGTTTATATTTGTTATAAAACACAAAGCCAGCTTCTGTCTTGAATATTTTTAAGGAATGTTATAAATTTACAGATAGAACACATGCTGTCATCAAAAATAATTTTGAGGTTATTTTGAGAGAAAATAGAGAAAAGTATGTTTTATTTTTACAATTAATAAAATTCATCAGCTGATATTTAATATATTTATATCAAACAGTATGACTAGAAACCAACCCTTTGTACTGAATTCCCATATTTATAATATTACCTATTGCTGTTTCAGAAAAGAAAACATTTCAAAAAGGAAAAGGAGAACTCCTTTCAAGTAATGCCTTAGATAATGTTTTTAAATGAGTAGTACAGTAAAGAAATAAGCAATACGTGAAATTAGGGAGACTTTGTACCTACTTCTCTCTTACAATATTAAATGACCAAAGTTCTTTTCATTTTTAACCATTTTTGTGGTGAGTAGTTTGAAATGAATTAAATGGAATGATTATTTCTCCATCTCTGTCTCTGACCTGAGTCACTGGTATCAAATGTCTTCCAGTTATTCCAGAGGTGGTGATGTCAGAAATGAGGAGCTGGCTATTGCTCCCTCTGTGTTGTATAACCCAGTTCCATGTGGAAGCGTAGTGCTGCATAACCTCCTTTTCTCCCATTGCGTGATACATTAAAGATTAAACAAATTACTAATTAGGAGTTGAGTTTTGAACCGGGATTTTTGTTGTTCTTTCAGTCATCTGCTGTAAGGTTAGGAGGATGCAGAGCTAAACAAAATCTCTTACCAAGGATGATGCCTTTGTAGACTTATTGTGTAAAAACTCTATAATTTGTTTTTATGTATTCATTTATCAGAATTTTACTTAAGAATTAATAATGTGATAAGTGGTAAATAGACATAAATGGAAAGATAAGTAAAGCATGGTCTCATTGTCCCAGAATAAACTCTGAGGGGAGATTTGAACTACATTCCATTGACTTCACTGTAAAGTGGGTACTCTTTCTAAGAAACAAGTTTGACTTTATTTCTATTCTCATTATTTGTTCAATTGCTCTCTTTTTCCTCCTAGTCCAAGAAAGCCCCAATTTCTTTTTTCCCATTATTATCATGTTTTGTTATTAATATCACGTGTGTAGGTTCTAGCTGGCAAAATATGAGGTACAGAAGGTCTTTTTTCTTCTACTAGAGCTACCTCTGCTGAGAAGGGCCACATGGCCTGGTCTCAAGGAAGGAAAGACCAAATTTCTTTACATGGTGACTTAGACAAGAGAAATTTATTGTCTCACAGTTCTGAGGTTAGAAATACAAAATCAAAGTATCATCTGAGCCATAC